AGGACGGGGAGGAGCAAACTCAAACAAGCGCAAGCAAGCAAGCGGAAGCAAGCAAGCGCAAGCGAGCAATAACAAGCAAGCAAGAGCCAGCGATCAAGTGCAAGCAAACAAGGGCAAACACCAGCAAGCAAGAGCAAACAAGGGCAAGCGATCAAGTGCAAGTAAGCAAGGGCAAGCAAGGGGTGCCATTGGAAAATAAGGGGGGGGTGCCATTGGAAAAAGGGGGGGGAGGGGGGGTGCCATTGGAAATAAGGGGGGTGCCACTGGCAAAAGGGGGGAGGGGTCCTAACGACCAGCTGCTCATGATGAACTAGGACTGGAATAGGGCAAGCCAGTTTGGATAATGATACGACTAAGGAGACGACTAAAAAGAAAAGGAGGAGGAGGAGGAGGAAGATGATATGGATGGGGAGGGGAGAAAGAAGAGGAGGATGAGAAGGAGGAGGAGGAGGAGGAGGAGGAGGAGGAGGGATGCGGGGAGGGGGATGGGAGGGGGAGAAGGAGGAGGAGTAGAGGAGGAGGAGAAGGAGGAGGAGGAGGAGGAGGAGGAGGAGGAGGAGGAGGAGGAGGGGGAGGGAGGGGTAAGGAGGGAGGGGGAGAGGAGGAGGAGGAGGAGGAGAGAGGAGGAGGATCGGAGGAGAGGAGGAGGGGAAGAGGAGGGAGAGGACAGGGAGAAGGAAGAGGAGGAGGAGGAGGAGGAGGAGGAGATGAGAGGAGGAGTAGGGAGGAGGAGGAAGGAGGAGGAGGGAGGAGGAGGAGGAGGAGTAGGAGGAGGAGAGGAGGAGGAGGAGGAGGAGGAGGGAGGAGAGGGGAGGAGGAGGAGGAGAGGAGGGAGGAGAGGAGGAAGGAGGAGGAGGAGGAGAGGAGGAGGAGGAGGAGGAGGAGGAGAGGAGGAGAAGAGGAGGAGGAGAGGAGGAGGAGGAGGAGAGGAGGAGGGATGAGGAGGAGGGAGGAGGAGGAGGAAGGAGGAGGAGGAGGAGGAGGAGGAGGAGGAGGAGGAGGGGGGGGGAAAAGGAGAAGGAAGAGGAGGGGGAAGGGGGCCAGTAGCGCCACGATTCGCGCCAGCTCCGTGCGGGAGCTAGGTACCCTCAGCCTTCCTGTGACGGCGCCCGCGTAAAGCTTGACCCTGGAGGGGCAGGGGGCGGGAGCGACTTCGGTCATTGCGGTGGAGAACCAGCTCTTGCGCGATCTGCTCCACCCCGACGATGCCGACGCATCGCCGATGCATCAGCGACGCGTGCGCGGTGCGATCCTGTAATCCACACTGCTGCGGTCCCAGTCGGGCGGCCTTCAGGTTTGTTAAGCCCGGCGAGTCGAGGGAGTCGCCGAGCTTCGTGAACAGGATCATGGTGTTCCTCTTCGCGTCGGACTCGGTCTTCGAGAGGGTGAAGGATTGCAGCCGGCTGGGGAGCCGAGGTGGCCCAGTCTTGCTTGGGCCAGCAGACAAGGGAGGAGAAGGGGGTCCCCTCGTCGCCACGGCTTAACGCTGCCCGAAAAACTAGTCCGTTTCGATCCCTGGAAGGGTCGGGGGACCGATTTTGGGCGAATTTGCCTTCATCCCTCCCCTTTGGGCCGAGTTTCTGGGGAGTCGTTCAGCTCAGACCCCCCGCCAGGGGGTCTGGCCGCTTCCAAGCGAAGCGGCCATGGCCTGGCCGCTTCCAAGTGAAGCGGCGTGGCGCCCAGGGTGAAGTGAGAGGGGGTAGGCTTAAGTCGGGCCTGTCCCTCTACAGGGGGGATGTTCCAAAATAGTCAAAACATAGTCTGGGGACGATCTTTTCACCATTTTTGGTTATTTGTGGGGCATTTCTGGAGTATTTCTAATTTTTCGTCCAAAATTCGCCTGTAGGGGGACATGCCCGACCTAAGGGTAGGCCTTCTCAGAAGGCGGCGGCGCTTCTCAGAAGCTCTCGTGCCTTTGGAGAAGCCGTCTCCGTCATCGGAGAAGGCTCGCAAGGCTTCTCAGAAGGATTCGTCGATCCCCCATCGCCAATTGATCGCCGACAGGGGCCCGATGGCCCTACCCCACCCAGAACCGTGCGGATTCGCCATCGGCGTTGCATCGCCGATCTATCAGCACCGCACCGCCGATTCCGGCCCGATGCTTCCCCCCCCCGAGCCCAACCCCCTGCGGTTGGCGTTGGAAAGATGGCGTGCGATGTGGCGCCCTCGGCCCGATTGTTGCACGCTATCCCCCCCCCTTGGGGGCAGCGTGCGCCGAAGAAGCCCCAGCAGGGGGATGGCGTGTACAGAGCCTCGCGGGGGGATCACATTACAGGGACAGCGTGCCTTTCGGAGATCAGTGTTGAAACTCTTTCCAGCGCAAACTGTAACTCGGCGGCGCGCAGGGGGGGAGTGAGAGGAGACGAGCCTGCTCAGAAGGCGGCGGGGCTTCCCAGAAGCCCTCCAGCCTGCTGAGAAGCTGTTTCTGTCGTCGGAGAAGACTCAGAAGACTTCTCCTTCCGAGAAGGCCCGCTCCCTCCGACTGCCTCCCTGGGCTCGCCGCCGAGAACCTCGAATAACAAACAATGGCGTAAACAAACTTTTGGAGCTCCGCGCGGATCTCCTGGATCGGCTTCGGGTCCCTGGCGGCGCCTCTGGCGCCGCCCCTTGCCCGCTCCGCGCGCAAGGGAGGGTGTCCAGCGCCCATCCATGAAATCCACGCGGAGTTCCAAACACTTTGCTTAGTTATGCCGTTTTTTGTCCTCTAGTACGGTCGGACCGAGGTGTAAGATCGAGGTCGGTTCGGGGAGGGTGCCCTGATGTCCTTCGTGCTTGTTGGATGTTCCTGTGCATCCTGGAGGAGGCACCCTCGAATGTTCTTCAGCTTGGGCCGACGGAGGGTCTCGCGTTCGCGAAGGATGTTCTTCTGTCTTAGGTTCGGCCCGAACGAAAGAGGGGGATAGGGAAAGGGAGGGTTACGAAATCTGCTGCATGCAGCTGGTTTCGGCCCCGCCGCCGGGCCCATTCCTCGATACACGGGCGCCTCCCGGCGCCGGGAGGCGCTGGGAAAACCAGCTACGTGAGGTCATTCTCACCCCCCCCCTTGCTATCCCCCCCTTTCGCCCGGCCCGATAGGCCCGACCGTAACGGCCCCTCCCCGAAGGAGCATCCGAAGGACCAGCCGTTCCGGATGGCGTGCGGGAGCCAGCTCTGCGTTGCCAAGGCGCACATGGATCTGCGCGCGGGGAGGCGCGACGCGGAGCGCTCCGCGCCGGGGCGGCCAAAAGTGCGGCGCGCCCCGCCTTCGGGGGGAGGGCAAGTCGAGACAGCAGCGGCCCCCTTGACCATTTTTGCTACGTTTTTTTGGGTTTTCTTTGCATTATGTTTTTTGAATGTATCTTCTCTGGTTGTCTGCTTTTGTTTGTTGCTTTGTTTTTTGCTCTGTTCTGCTTGTGTTTTGTCTTGTGTTCTTTTGTTTCTTTTGTGTTCTGCTCCCTCTGCATGCTTGCTTCTTGTCAGCTCCTCGCCGCCGCGGCTGGACCCGCCTCGAGAGAAGCGGGTCGGGATGGGCCCCCCAGGAGTTGTTTGGGGACCGATTTTGCGCGGGCTGGACCCTTCCTTCAGAAGAGGAAAATGTACCCATATTTGTGACACTTTTCCCGGTGCTCGAAATTACCTATACGACCACCCTTCGGGTGATAAGGAGGTTCGGAGGAGGGGGGGAACCAACGTCTCACTCGATCGGTCTCACTATCGATCTCAGTATCGATCTCACTATCGGTCTCGCTCGATCGATCTCACTCGATCGATCTCACAATCGATCTCACTCGATCTATCTCATTCGATCGATCTCACAATTGATCTCTCAATCGATCTCACAATCGATCACACAATCGATCTCACATTCGGTCTCAATATCGATCTCACTATCGATATCACAATCGCTCTCACAATCAACGCCATCATCATCATCAACATCATCAACATCAATATCATCACCAACATCGTCATCATCATGAGAGCGCCGTCAGCATCATCATCATAAACATCATCATCAACGTCAGCATCATCATCGGGACAACATCATCATCATCACCATCATCATCTCATTATCAACATCATCATCATCATCGGGACAGTCGTCGTCATCATCATCAGCAGCATCATCATAATCATCATCATAATCGGGACACCATCATGATCACCATCGTTCTCATCATCAACATTATCATTAACATCGTCATCATCCTCGGGACACCATTATCATGATCATCGCATCATCATCATCGACATCATCATCAACAACATCATCATCATTGGGGCACCATCATCATCATGAGCAACATCATCATCAACATCGTCATTATCATTATTATCATCATCGGGACACCATCAGCATCACCATCATCATCACCATCATCATCATCAGCATCATCATCGGGACACCATAATCATCGTCAACATCATCATCACCAACATCATTACCGCCTGGACACCATTTCCATCAACATCATCATCACCAACATCATCGGAATAATCATCATCATCATCATCATCATCATCATCATCATCATCATCATCATCATCGGGACACCATCATTGTCATCATCATCAACATAATCATCATGAGCATCATCATCCTCATCATCGGGATCATCATCGACACCATCATCAACATCATCATCTTCATCGGACGGAATCATCATCATCATCATCATCATCATCATCATCATCATCATCATCATCATCATCATCATCGGGACACCATCATTGTCATCATCATCATCATCATCATCATGAGCATCATCATCCTCATCATCATCATCATCATCGACACCATCATCAACATCATCATCATCGGGACGCCATCATCATCATCATCTCATCATCATCATCATCATCATCATCATCATCATCATCATCATCATCATCATCATCATCATCATCATCCTCGCGGGACACCGCGGGACACCGGCACCGCGGGACACCGCGGGACACCGCGGGACACCGCGGGACACCGCGGGACACCGGCGGGACACCGCGGGCCACCGGCCGCCCGG